TCGCTACTTTCACTATATTTTGATGATAATACTTTTATACTTTCACTTGAGGAACATTTTGAATGCAGGACTTTCACTGTAACAGAGTATTCCTACACTCTGGTACTTCTACTTTTACTCAAGTACACGATCAGAGTACTTCTACTGAAGTACAAGATCTGAGTACTTCTACTTTTACTCAAGTACACGATCTGAGTACTTCTACTTTTACTCAAGTACACGATCTGAGTACTTCTACTGAAGTACAAGATCTGAGTACTTCTACTTTTACTCAAGTACACGATCTGAGTACTTCTACTTTTACTCAAGTACACGATCTGAGTACTTCTACTTTGACTCAAGTATAAGATCAGAGTACTTCTACTTTTACTCAAGTATAAGATCAGAGTACTTCTACTTTTACTCAAGTACAAGATCAGAGTACTTCTACTTTTACTCAAGTACAAGATCAGAATACTTCTACTTTTACTCAAGTACACGATCTGAGTACTTCTACTTTTACTCAAGTACAAGATCTGAGTACTTCTACTTTTACTCAAGTACACGATCTGAGTACTTCTACTTTTACTCAAGTACACGATCTGAGTACTTCTACTTTTACTACAAGACCTGAATACTTCTACTCAAGTACAAGATCTGAGTACTTCTACTTTTACTCAAGTACACGATCTGAGTACTTCTACTTTTACTCAAGTACACGATCTGAGTACTTCTACTGAAGTACAAGATCTGAGTACTTCTACTTTTACTCAAGTACACGATCTGAGTACTTCTACTTTTACTCAAGTACACGATCTGAGTACTTCTACTTTGACTCAAGTATAAGATCAGAGTACTTCTACTTTTACTCAAGTATAAGATCAGAGTACTTCTACTTTTACTCAAGTACAAGATCAGAGTACTTCTACTTTTACTCAAGTACAAGATCAGAATACTTCTACTTTTACTCAAGTTCACGATCTGAGTACTTCTACTTTTACTCAAGTACAAGATCTGAGTACTTCTACTTTTACTCAAGTACACGATCTGAGTACTTCTACTTTTACTCAAGTACACGATATGAGTACTTCTACTTTTACTACAAGACCTGAATACTTCTACTCAAGTACAAGATCTGAGTACTTCTACTTTTACTCAAGTACAAGATCTGAGTACTTCTACTTTTACTCAAGTACAAGATCTGAGTACTTCTACTTACTCGAGAACAAGATCTGAGTACTTCTACTTTTACTCAAGTACACGATCTGAGTACTTCTACTTTTACTCAAGTACACGATCTGAGTACTTCTACTTTTACTCAAGTACACGATCTGAGTACTTCTACTTTTATTCAAGTACAAGATCTGAGTACTTCTACTTTTACTCAAGTACAAGATCTGAGTACTTCTACTTTTACTCAAGAACACGATCTGAGTACTTCTACTTTTACTCAAGTACACGATCTGAGTACTTCTACTTTTACTCAAGTACAAGATCTGAGTACTTCTACTTTTACTCAAGTACACGATCTGATTACTTCTACTGAAGTACAAGATCTGAGTACTTCTACTTTTACTCAAGAACAAGATCTGAGTACTTCTACTTTTACTCAAGTACACGATCTGAGTACTTCTACTTTTACTCAAGTACAAGATCTGAGTACTTCTACTTTTACTCAAGTACACGATCTGATTACTTCTACTGAAGTACAAGATCTGAGTACTTCTACTTTTACTCAAGTACACGATCTGAGTACTTCTACTTTTACTCAAGTACAAGATCTGAGTACTTCTACTTTTACTCAAGTACACGATCTGAGTACTTCTACTTTTACTCAAGTACAAGATCTGAGTACTTCTACTTTTACTCAAGTACACGATCTGAGTACTTCTACTTTTACTCAAGTACACGATCCGAGTACTTCTACTTTTACTCAAGTATAAGATCTGAGTACTTCTACTTTTACTCAAGTACAAGATCTGAGTACTTCTACTTTTACTCAAGTACAAGATCTGAGTACTTGTACTTTTACTCAAGTACACGATCTGAGTACTTCTACTTTTACTCAAGTACACGATCCGAGTACTTCTACTTTTACTCAAGTATAAGATCTGAGTACTTCTACTTTTACTCAAGTACAAGATCTGAGTACTTCTACTTTTACTCAAGTACACGATCCGAGTACTTCTACTTTTACTCAAGTACACGATCTGAGTACTTCTACTTTTACTCAAGTATAAGATCTGAGTACTTCTACTTTTACTCAAGTACAAGATCTGAGTACTTCTACTTTTACTCAAGTACACGATCCGAGTACTTCTACTTTTACTCAAGTACACGATCTGAGTACTTCTACTTTTACTCAAGTACAAGATCTGAGTACTTCTACTTTTACTCAAGTACACGATCTGAGTACTTCTACTTTTACTCAAGTACACGATCTGAGTACTTCTCCCACCTCTGTATGTCGGCGTTGTTGAAAATGCAAAACCCTGAAGTTGTTGCAGACTGAAGGGGGGTGTAAAGAGCGCAGGAGAAGGTGGTTTGTAAACACTTCCCTTTTAGCCCTTAAAGAGGCCCTATTATACTAAATTGGGTTTTCTCTTTCCTGTAGTGTGTTCTGTATGTTTTAGTGCATGTAAATGGTCTGCAGAGGCTAAAATGCCTGTGTTCAGGGGGGGTTTATCGCACACACACACACATGATTCTGAAATGCGCCATGCTACATAACGAGTACTTTTACTTTTTTGTAATTTAGGTATATTTTGATGCTATCACTTTGGTGTTTTCACTTGAGTACGATTTGAAATGCAGGACTTTCCACAGGGTATTTTTACACTGAAGCAATGCCTCTTTTACTTAGATACAATATATTCTTTCACGGCTGTTAGTCCATGCTTTAAATGCAGCAGCACCTTTGCAGTAAGACATGGTTTTAATCACCAGCTGCAGCTTTGTAACACGCTTTTAAACCGTCTACTGTAATGCTTAACGTCAAGTCAGACTCCTTCAGATCCTGTGCATCAGCGAGGTGAAACACTAATCATTAACTTCACGGCGGCATAAAGAGCAGCGTCGACTCCTTCCTTGTTCAATGTGACCTACGGGAAACTTATGCAACTTGTTATGTCACTTCTGCAATGGGTGGGTCTGAGAATAAGCAATCGGCTTTTGAGGGTTTCCACAAACAACAATTAGTCAGACCGAGACTTCACCTAAATTGGGGAATGTACTGGTAATAAGATTTTTGGCAGAAGACGTCATGTTGGTTTCCCAAATTATACTGGTGGAGATTACACTGAATCGAAAACAGACAGGTTTCTTTCTTACATTTAGCAGTTAAAATGTAATTTAATTATATCTTTCACTCAAAAACCACAAAACTGCCATTTAGGAATGTATAGCTCCATGGTTAATTAAAGAGACCATATGCTTTAAAGAGTCCTCTCCTGCTGATGTTCAGGTGTATATCAGTATGTAGTGTGTCTACTTTAAAGAGTCCTCTCCTGCTGATGTTCAGGTGTATATCAGTATGTAGTGTCTCTACTTTAAAGAGTCCTCTCCTGCTGATGTTCAGGTGTATATCAGTATGTAGTGTCTCTACTTTAAAGAGTCCTCTCCTGCTGATGTTCAGGTGTATATCAGTATGTAGTGTCTCTACTTTAAAGAGTCCTCTCCTGCTGATGTTCAGGTGTATATCAGTATGTAGTGTCTCTACTTTAAAGAGTCCTCTCCTGGTGATGTTCAGGTGTATATCAGTATGTAGTGTCTCTACTTTAAAGAGTCCTCTCCTGCTGATGTTCAGGTGTATATCAGTATGTAGTGACTCTACTTTAAAGAGTCCTCTCCTGCTGATGTCCAGGTGTATATCAGTATGTAGTGTCTCTACTTTAAAGAGTCCTCTCCTGCTGATGTTCAGGTGTATGTCAGTATGTAGTGTCTCTACTTTAAAGAGTCCTCTCCTGCTGATGTTCAGGTGTATATCAGTATGTAGTGTCTCTACTTTAAAGAGTCCTCTCCTGCTGATGTTCAGGTGTATATCAGTATGTAGTGTCTCTACTTTAAAGAGTCCTCTCCTGCTGATGTTCAGGTGTATATCAGTATGTAGTCTCTCTACTTTAAAGAGTCCTCTCCTGCTGATGTTCAGGTGTATATCAGTATGTAGTGTCTCTACTTTAAAGAGTCCTCTCCTGCTGATGTTCAGGCTGGCACACTATTTTGAGAAGCTGCTCGGCAACCACTGCGTCAACAAAGTCACAAGCGTTGTCCCTCCCTCTTCCTCACACAGGGAAGCACTGTGAAGGTGTTACTGTACCAGAGAGATCCTGCAGCAACATGACAAAGGGCTGATGGGAAACACGAGAAGTGGACAAACTGGTTTCCTCAGTCTGTTCTTCTTCATGCGGGAAAACGAACATTACATAACATGTCCTCTGATGACGACTGACAGCATGAGGAGTTCACTGTCAAACTGAAAGCTCATAACTGCATCAGCGTCTACATATTATTATTATTATTATTATTATTATTATATGTATTATATTCAGACTGGAGGTTTTAATGCATATCATTTCCCATTAACTGATCCAGAACCTTCTTTACACACAACTGCTTATTTCTTGTTTTTCAGATGTCACAAATAATCTAAATAAGAATGTATACTATTTCTTCTGATACTGTTAATGGTTTGATTGCAAAAAATATAATATGTTTGTTACATGCCGCTTTACAGAAGCACGTTGCCCATAAACTACATGTCCCACAATGCATCTCATTTTGTGACACTGAAGAGACTTGCAATTATTATTTGCCCTAGACTTCTGCTTTCAGACGTTGTTAATTATGAAGTTGTTACCCCTATCCGATAATAATCCAATGCAGAGGCAATAATGTAATATAATTCAAATATGTTCATTTTAATTAATTTCTTATTTTAAAGTTACTTAACTGTAACTATTTTGATCTCTCTGTCTGTACACACAAACTGAAAGATTTGGTGAGTTTCGTGCACTGTGTCGTACCGAGGGTGGATTTGCGCAGCTGGAAGGACTCGAAGTTCTCCTGCAGGCGGGCGTATCGCTGGGTCAGCGTCTCCTTCCTCTGCTCCAGGCGGGGCTGCAGGTCCAGGTTCTGCTCAGCGAGGGTCCGGTTGCTCACCAGCGTCGTCTCCTTGCTCTGCTGCACCCCCTGCACCTGGAACATAAAAAAAAACATGTCAGAATTATATTGATCAGAATTCCTTTATCCCGCAACGGGGACATTTGCGGTATTGCAATAGGAAGAGTATAGTGCAGTATGCAAAAGAAGTGAATATCGGCTATGAATCACAACACCAAACGGGCCAGTTTCCACACAACCCCCACAAGTCTCTTCCCATATTTAGAAAGACAGATCATAAAAAATGTGTCACAGATCTGTTTCACAATCTGCAGCTTTTTCTACATTAAGAAAACTGCAGTTCAATGCTTCTACCTATCCATTGGGTTTTGGATTATTGCAGAAACAAACGTTTAGTTCAGCAGGATAATCTCCATATGTTAACACCACTTTAGGATTTCTGCAGTTAAAAGCTAATGTTGGGCTATAAAGGAACTACAGCACGGTCACATGACTTCACGTCACCACCGCTAAGCTAAAGGTGGCTAATGTTGGGCTATAAAGGAACTACAGCACGATCACATGACTTCACGTGACCACCGCTAAGCTAAAGGTGGCTAATGTTGGGCTATAAAGGAACTACAGCACGGTCACATGACTTCACGCCACCACCGCTAAGCTAAAGGTGGCTAATGTTGGGCTATAAAGGAACTACAGCACGGTCACATGACTTCACGTCACCACCGCTAAGCTAAAGGCGGCTAATGTTGGGCTATAAAGGAACTACAGCACGGTCACATGACTTCACGTCACCACCGCTAAGCTAAAGGTGGCTAATGTTGGGCTATAAAGGAACTACAGCACGGTCACATGACTTCACGTCACCACCGCTAAGCTAAAGGTGGCTAATGTTGGGCTATAAAGGAACTACAGCACGGTCACATGACTTCACGTCTCCACCGCTAAGCTAAAGGTGGCTAATGTTGGGCTATAAAGGAACTACAGCACGGTCACATGACTTCACGTCTCCACCGCTAAGCTAAAGGTGGCTAATGTTGGGCTATTAAGTAGTTTATGACAAGAAGAAGCAGCAAAACATGCAATTTGAGGACCATCTTTCTTGAACAAAAAGATCTCCTGCTATTTCTTAAATTACTCATTTTACACATCAAACCAACATGTTATATTCTCAGCCAGGGAAACTCTAAAAATACACTCCAGCTTGTTATGGAATAGTCTCTAAAAGGTGACAGAGCCAGGCCTTGTTTGGCGGTTAGACTGAGGGGGAAACAACCTTTGAGGCGGGAAAAGCAGCTGAAGATGTCTATTACTGCTCTTTGCACCATCACATCCTGAGGACAGCAGCCTCCCTTCTTTCATCCAGGCTGAAGACACAGACCTTTAAATAGCATCCATAACTGCAGGCCTGTTCTGTCAAACCGACACATAATTGTTTGCCGGGGAACTGCTCGACTAATCCATTAAAAGGCTGAAATAATCTCAGGAAATGTAGGTTAAGAGCTGGATGCTGGAGAGCTAATAACGAACAGTAGGATGGTACATTCACTCAAGCACTGTAGTGAAGTACAATTTGGAGGCACTTTTTCCCCATTGTATTGTACTTATAATTGTATGAAAAAGTTGACGTCTAAGTATGTTAAACTGGCTTTCCGTTGGAAGGAGTATTCAGACCCTTTACTTTGGTAAAAGTACTAATACCTAGTTGTGAAATGTAATGAAGTACATTCACTTAAGCACTGTAGTTAAGTACAATTTGGAGGCACTTTAAGTGAATATTTCCATTTTATACAACTCTAAATTTGCGCTAAAAACATTGACATCCATGTACGTAAACCTGACGTTCGAATAGAATAAGTATTCAGATCTTTTACTTTGGTAAAAGATCTGAATACCCATTCGTGAAATGTAATAAAGTACATTCACTCAAGCACTGTAGTTAAAACCTGTTTCACGCCTTCCCCCCGGTACCGGGCGGATAAACGCGTAATTTGCAGGAAACAACGTCTAAGGAATCTTAATATTGAATAAAACTATGAATGTGTTATATCCATGTAACGGGAAGAAACTCAGCTAACTGATCTTTTTAATTTTTTTTTTCAAAAAAAACCCACAATGCTAGCACTCAGCCTCTGAATTAGCCTCGATCGAAAAAACGGGACCGACAAAGGCACATAAACTCACTCAGAACTCCCTTATTACTTATCCTAGATGCACAACCAAACACTATTTTTTGGTGTCCTGGAGACACTGAATCTAACGGTGCCCACCTCAACACTCAGTGATAAACATTCGCGACGCTATCAACGAAAGCGTACATCATCACATGTGGAGCCAAGAAGCTAAATATGTAAATATGGCTTACCTTGGTCAAAAGTGGTCTTCAATGGCATTAAAACGATAAAAAAACGATGCTGCAGTTAATCCATAGGTTCATCCTATGTGTCTGTGCCTTCTTTGAAATTATTTCTGATAATCCATAAGCAATACAACTGCGTTTTAGTTTCCAAACTCCAGAAGGAGACATTCCTCCAGTTTAGTTTCGCTTTCCACACGCGAAGCGGCAACATTTTTTCTTTATAATGTATGTGTATGTGAGTCTCCTCCTTCGATTCTATTGGCTCTAACGGTCACAAGGGTATGTCAACCAACCAGATCGAGCAAGAGGGGGCCAGAGATAGGTCAAATCCACCCAAATGACCCCAGATGGCCCAGTTTTTGGCTAAATCTCTCTAAAAAGGTCAAATTTCACTTGTTTTGCATCAATCTTGATACAGGGTACTTATTATATGTTGTACTTTGGATTCCTAAAGCTTTTAGTCTACTAACCCATCATCCAAGGGTAGTTTTTACTATCTGTAAAAAATAATTTTTGGACGGACACTATAATTTACAGTTTTTTACTATGTAAAATCTGAATTTTCTTTAAAATAAAAAACATTTATATTGATTCTGACACTTCTACATCCAACTCACAGGTTTATCATTACTTTGAGAAAAGATTATTAATTTAACCCTTTTAGAAGGGAAGATATGGTCAGTTGTTCTGGGAATGTCATTTTCGAGCCTGAGACCTGAAAAACAGGCTCAGAGTGGAACAGGTTACCTGTTCCACTCTGAGCCTGTTTTTCAATTTGGAGGCACTTAAACTGAGAATTTCCATTTTATACAACTTTTTGCTCTAAAAACATTGGCGTCTATGTACGTAAACCTGACGTTCGAATGTAATAAAGTACATTCACTCAAGTACTGTACTTTTTGGAGGCACTTTAAGTGAGTATTTCCATTTTATGCTACATAACTTACTCAAAAAACGTTGACGTCTCCCAACGTAAACCTGACGTCTGTCGGAAGGAGTATTCAGACCCTTTACTTTTGGTAAAAGTACTAATAACCATTCAGTTTGTAGTCGTCTAGTGTCTCTTTGTAGTCGTCTAGGTGTCTCTCTGTAGTCGTCTAGTGTCTCTCTGTAGTCGTCTAGTGTCTCTCTGTAGTCGTCTAGTGTCTCTCTGTAGTCGTCTAGTGTCTCTCTGTAGTCGTCTAGTGTCTCTCTGTAGTCGTCTAGTGTCTCTCTGTAGTCGTCTAGTGTCTCTCTGTAGTCGTCTAGTGTCTCTCTGTAGTCGTCTAGTGTCTCTCTGTAGTCCTCTAGTGTCTCTCTGTAGTCATCTAGTGTCTCTCTGTAGTCATCTAGTGTCTCTCTGTAGTCGTCTAGTGTCTCTCTGTAGTCGTCTAGTGTCTCTCTGTAGTCGTCTAGTGTCTCTCTGTAGTCCTCTAGTGTCTCTCTGTAGTCGTCTAGTGTCTCTCTGTAGTCGTCTAGTGTCTCTCTGTAGTCGTCTAGTGTCTCTCTGTAGTCGTCTAGTGTCTCTCTGTAGTCCTCTAGTGTCTCTCTGTAGTCATCTAGTGTCTCTCTGTAGTCATCTAGTGTCTCTCTGTAGTCATCTAGTGTCTCTTTGTAGTCATCTAGTGTCTCTTTGTAGTCATCTAGTGTCTCTTTGTAGTCATCTAGTGTCTCTTTGTAGTCATCTAGTGTCTCTTTGTAGTCCTCTAGTGTCTCTCTGTAGTCATCTAGTGTCTCTCTGTAGTCCTCTAGTGTCTCTCTGTAGTCATCTAGTGTCTCTCTGTAGTCCTCTAGTGTCTCTCTGTAGTCCTTTAGTGTCTCTCTGTAGTCATCTAGTGTCTCTCTGTAGTCCTTTAGTGTCTCTCTGTAGTCATCTAGTGTCTCTCTGTAGTCATCTAGTGTCTCTCTGTAGTCCTCTAGTGTCTCTCTGTAGTCATCTAGTGTCTCTCTGTAGTCCTCTAGTGTCTCTCTGTAGTCGTCTAGTGTCTCTCTGTAGTCGTCTAGTGTCTCTTTGTAGTCATCTAGTGTCTCTTTGTAGTCATCTAGTGTCTCTCTGTAGTCCTCTAGTGTCTCTCTGTAGTCCTCTAGTGTCTCTCTGTAGTCCTCTAGTGTCTCTTTGTAGTCATCTAGTGTCTCTTTGTAGTCATTTAGTGTCTCTTTGTAGTCATCTAGTGTCTCTCTGTAGTCCTCTAGTGTCTCTTTGTAGTCATCTAGTGTCTCTCTGTAGTCATCTAGTGTCTCTCTGTAGTCGTCTAGTGTCTCTCTGTAGTCGTCTAGTGTCTCTCTGTAGTCGTCTAGTGTCTCTCTGTAGTCGTCTAGTGTCTCTCTGTAGTCGTCTAGTGTCTCTCTGTAGTCGTCTAGTGTCTCTCTGTAGTCGTCTAGTGTCTCTCTGTAGTCGTCTAGTGTCTCTCTGTAGTCGTCTAGTGTCTCTCTGTAGTCGTCTAGTGTCTCTCTGTAGTCGTCTTTGTCTCTCTCTGTAGTCTCTAGTGTCCTCTCTGTAGTCGTCTAGTGTCTCTCTGTAGTCGTCTAGTGTCTCTCTGTAGTCGTCTAGTGTCTCTCTGTAGTCGTCTAGTGTCTCTCTGTAGTCCTCTAGTGTCTCTCTGTAGTCCTCTAGTGTCTCTCTGTAGTCATCTAGTGTCTCTCTGTAGTCATCTAGTGTCTCTCTGTAGTCCTCTAGTGTCTCTCTGTAGTCGTCTAGTGTCTCTCTGTAGTCGTCTAGTGTCTCTCTGTAGTCGTCTAG